ACTGCACTCCAGTCTGGGCAATAGAGTGAGACTCCAACTCAAAAAATATATATATATATTTTAAGCATATTCAAAGTCTAGATTTGAGATTCAAAACATCTTCCTACAATTTTAGCAGTTGAGTGTTTAAGAAAAATATATTTAAAATTTTTCACATTTTTAGATGCTTTTTTTACTTTATTAGTTTTCGGTAGTGAAAATCAATAATAAATATCAGATAGGAAAGCACTCTTGTAAGATCTTAAAAAGAACAGCTTAATTCTTTTTCTGTAGGATTTAGTTTTTTTTATCATCTTTTTTAGAAAAGTCAGTGAGCCATGTGTGGTTCTACAGTAGTAATTCTATAGAAATTTGTATTGATCTAATTTTTACCTTATAACAATGTATTGTCTTATAAAGTTTTCAGATTTCATACTTGATAAGAACATTATTTCGTATCTTTACTATTATCTTTAAGTTCACCTTTAATTATCCAGTGTATGAAGCTGAGTTCTGTTGAAATGTTTTGCAGAATTTTGTTTTGTAACAAATTTGCGGGAGTAGAATCTTTGGGCTAAGATTTAGATTAATTGAAGATTGATATATCCTTATTCTTGTTGAAAGTGTAAGTATTTCATACCTATGTGTCATGCCTTAGGATTTAACCACAAGGTAGATTTTGGAAAATTTTCTCCTTTCAAATTCAAATTATATAATCACACTTTTCTTTTTTATTTTTATGTTTATTTTTATTTATTTATTTATTTTTGAGTTGGCATCTCACTCTGTCATCTAGGCTGGGGTTCAGTGGCATACTTTTGACCATCACAGCTTTAACCTGCTGGGCTCAAGCAATCCTTCTGACTCAGCCTTCCAAGTAGCTGGAACTGTAGGCGTGCACCAGCACACCGGCTAATTTTTTTTACTTATTGTAAAGATGAGGTCTTGCCAAGTTGCCCAGGCTGGTCTTGAACTCCTGAGCTTAGGCAATCCTCTTGCCTTTGCCTCCCAAAGTGCTGGGATTGCAGGCATAAGCCACTGTGCCCAACTTTAAATAATCAAAATTTTCAGCAAAAGATGCCAGAGTGGATACCCATATACAGAAGAATGAAGGTAGACCCTTCTATCACATCATATACAAAAAAATAAATTCAAAGTGAGTCATAGATCTAAGTGTAGCAGCTGGAACTATAAAACTCTTAGGGAAAAAACATAGGAGTAAGTCTTTGTGACCTTGAATTAGTCAGTGGTTTCTTAGATATAACACCAAAAGAACAATTGACAAAAGAAAATATAAATAAATGAGACTTCATCAAAATTAAAAATGTTTGTGTTTCAAAGGATATTACCAAGAAAGTGATTTTTTAAGTAGTCACCCTTACATATTATAAGATCTTTTTATTCATATTTTTTAAGCCTTGACTGATTTCTAATTTAAATGTTGTTTCAGTGCTGCTGTGGTATGTTTGGGTTCCTTGTACAAGAAGTTGGGTAGAATACTGGGTAACACCTTTACTGATACGGTGGGGAATATTCTTAAAGCTATGAAGAGTGCTGAGGTAAGTAACTACAAGGTCAACCAAATAATGAAAAGATAACATACATAGATCTGTACTTTCTTAAGCCAATAAAAGATCTTTATATATGATAAGCATACATTGAAGTGTATATAAATATATCCATAAATTAAATATTGCTAGGTGATACACAGTACATACTCTGTATATTGAATCCTTGTTATAAAAATAATAATGCAAAAGAATTTCTTGTACTCATAGAATTTCTTGAATTCATATAAATTCAAGTGAGCAAAAACTAAGGTATTCCACTGGCAGATCCATCCCTGCTCTCATATCTCACTCCACATTTTCCATTTGATGCTGCTTACTGGTGTCAGAGCAAGTGCTTATCTCCAGGGACTGCATAGTTGGTAACCAATGTATACCTGATAGATAAATTAGTTACTGCATTTAGCATCAGAAGGTGGTAAGGAATTGGGGGGAAGGAATGGGGATGACATGTGACCAGAATTGGATGACCTTTTAATTGCCATGAGATTATATTTTCATCCTTATCTTCCTCATTGATATAGTTGTATCATTTATACTCTGGAATACCATTTGTTTTTAAGATAAGATATGGTAATCTCTTGCCAACTATAATTTTACCAGTTTTGAAATTAAAGTATTTACATGTTTATCAGAAGTTTTAAAGCTGTGATCCCTGGTAAGTAAAAATAACTTAGCACCTTTAAAATAAAAACAGCTGGGCATGATGGCTTGTGCCTGTAATCCCAGCTCCTTGGGAGTATAAGGTGGGAGAGTCACTTGAGGCCAGAAGTTTGAGACCAGTCAAGGCAATGTAGCAAGATTCCATCTTTAAAAAAAATTAATAAAAACAGATGTCTACAAGAACTTTTAATTACTGAGATGTAGCCATTTTATTTTATTAATTATTTTATGATTCGGTTTCTCACTCTCACACAGGCTGGAGTGCAGTGGCATGCTTACAGCTACCACAGCCTCAATCTGCTAGGCTTAGACAATCCTTCCGCCTCAGCCTTTCAAGTTGCTAGACCTATAGATGCAGGCCACCATGTCTGGTTAATTTTTTTTACTTATTATAGAGATGAAGTCTCACCAAGTTTCCCAGGTTGGTCTTGAACTCCTGGACTCAGGCAGTCCTCTCGCCTCTGCTTCCCAAAGTGCTGGAATTACAGGCATGAGCCACCACTCCCACCAGATGTAGCCATTTTAAACTTTTTTTCCACTTAACCACCTCCATTGACTTACCTATGCTACTTTTTAGGCCCCGTGGTTAACAGAGGATTATCATTCTGTAGCTATCAAACATTTTGAAGATCTTGATAAGTATTTTATTGCTTCCCTATTTTAGATCTTTATGATTTAGTTGGTCAGGCACCACAACATTTCACAGATATCAAAAGGTATTCCTGCTTTTTATTCACATCCACCAGTGATACACAACATTTGAAACTGGGATACAAGAAAGTTCAGAAGTTTCTCACTAGCATCATTTTATTATGTCCACCTGTGACTCTTGAGCTCCTTTAAACAAATATAAATTAGTAATATTACTATGAAAATTATACTTGATACTGCTCTTCGTCTTGCTTCAACTTTACCTCCCTTCAGTGGCCTTAACTTCCAAGGATATAGAAATCACTTGTAATTATTTAGTAAAACATTGATAATACAAGCAGCTACTATTTCTTTACTGTTTACTATGTGCCAGACACTGTGGTGAATGTCTACCCATGAGGTTTGTCTTAGCCTTATTTTATAGAAGAGGAAATAAGTAAGAACCAAAGTCATAACTACTGAGGGTCAGAGACACATCCAAACCCAGGTTTTTAAAATTCTGTAGCTAAGACTTTTAACTTGTGGGTTAAACTGTTCTAATCAGTAAATGATGACAAGATGTTAATAGCTTCCAGATCTATTGAGCATTTGTTGTATGTGTGGCATGTGGCAGACACTTTGCATGTATTAACTCATTTCCCCCTTACAACAATTTATGAGGCAGATGCTCTTACCTCCAGTTTATCGATAGAGACAAATTTGCCCAAGGTTATATAGCTAGTAGGTGGCAGACTGGCATTCTTAATATGTTACCTCATATTACAGCAACCATTTATTGAATGCTTAAATGACATGCAAGCTTTGTGCTAGGTACTTTTCATATAATTTTATTTAATCTTGTTATTTAATCTTCACATCAACTCTATGAAATTTATATTGTGTTGAAATGTAATGTATACAAGTAACACTTTTTAAATAGTAAATACTTTATAAAATAGAAACTAGGCCGGACTTGATGGCTTAGCCTATAATCCCGGCACTTTGGGAGGCCAATGCAAGTAGATTACCTGAGCCTGCAGGTTCGACACCAGCCCGGGCAACTTGGCAAGACCTTGTCTCTACAATAAATAAAAAATTAGCCAGGTGTGGTAGCCCACGCCTGTAGTTCAGGCTATTTGGAAGCTGAGGCGAAAGGATCACTAGACCCCAGCAGGTCCACACTGGGGTAGCTGCGAGTGTGCCACTGCACTCCAGCCTAGGCGATGTCGTGAGACTCCAAATTAAAAAACAAACAAACACACAAACTATTATTTCTTGATGTCAGGATGGACTAGATAGTATATGCAAAAATCTGAGTATTTCTCCAGTGTGGGGGATAAATACCAATGCTATTTTTACAGTGGAATTATTTTCTTATTTATTCTTTAATTCTTTTCTTTCTGGTAGTCTCAAGGGCGATATGAGATTATGCTGAGTCTACAAAACATACTAAATGGACTAGGAGCTACTGCTGCACCTTGCCACAGAGATGTTTATAAAGCTGCTAGATCCTGCTTAACAGATAGATCCATGGCTGTTCGTTGTGCTGCTGCAAAGGTAAAATGATCTAATAAGCAGGCTTTTAAAAGTTAATATAAGGAAAATTAAATCAATCTCTATGAAAGCATTAGTGACATGTACATGATTTTATAGCTGTAATCTTGGTAATCAGTTAGTACTATCTCATTTTAACATATGAAACTGAGACCCAAATTTGTTTGAATTTCCCAAGGTTTGAGCAGTTAACAACACATTGTCAGAAGGTAGGAAATTTAAATTTCCAGACTCTTAAGTATTCATTCTCCCCTATGTTTTGTCTTTGTTATTATGTAGACTAAAATTTACATGTAAGGTTTATGTTGTTTCCAAGTGGTTTTTGTTTTTTGTTTTGCTTTTATCATCTTAACATTGTTGGTTAGATAATACAGTACATTTTTTTAATGTTGGAATTACTCTCCTAGTTGCTGTTAGCCAACAGATTGTTTCTAAGGCATTTTTTAATAACCTACTCAGTTAGAATTGGGTCCTCCTTCTACCTTTTTTAGGTTCATTGGCTTATATAGTATAACCTCTATGACTTTTAGTAAGTATTCATTTGTTGTTCCTACGATCATTTGTGTATTATTTTATTAGATTTGCATTTGTGCATTATTTTGATAGACCTTGATCAGTTTCTGCAACTTATGTAGCTCGTAACCTAACATTTATATTTTTTTATTAATTTCTGTTTGTCCATTTGAATAGTGTCTGCTTGAACTTCAGAAGGAAGCCATTTTTATGTGGAGTACAGACCTGGACAGTGTGACAACGTTATGTTTTAAGTCCTTTGAAGGTTCTAATTATGACGTGCGGATTTCAGTTTCAAAGCTATTGGGCACAGTATTGGCTAAAGCTGTAATTTCTAAACATCCAGGAACAGGTAAATTTATTGACTAATTTTCAGAACATTTTCTGTATTTTTTTTCCCAGTTGATTTAAGCAAGTACACATGGCATTACAGCTACCCATTATTACTCTTGAAGCATAATATAAATCAGTTTTAACTCACAAACATTGCTATATGTTCTGAGATTTCATTCACAAATAATTCAATAAAAATTTGAGAAAAAATACAAGTACTCTTGAAGTATAGTGTGCTTTATTAAATCATTGTCTTCCTTTTACATTATGGCCCCATTTTAAAAAAGTAAAATGAAGTGTTATCCAGTAAGAATACTATTTACATCTTGAATTATTATTTTTTAAGGTAGCATACATCTGATTATATACATTTGGCTTAGCATTTTCTAGGTTGGTGCAAGGGAGCAAATGATGTAGATAATTTCAAACAGATATTTGAAATTTACTATATTTAGACAGTTTTGCTTTGTATTAGTTTTTAATTCCCTGTGCATACACTTATAGGCAGTTAACAAGAATGAGACTTTTTTTAAAACAAAGGGCATTGCTGGGATTAAATCTACAGTATAGCTGGGCTCGGTGGCTCAGTTTGTAATCCCGCACCTTTGGGAGGCTGAGGTGAGTGGATTGCCTGAGCCTGCGGGTTCGAGACCCGCCTGGGCAGCGAGACCTCATCTCTACAATAAATCAAAAAATCATCCGGGCCTGGTAGCGCATGCCTGTAATTCCAGTTACTTGGAAGGCTGAGGCGGAAGGATCGCCAGAGCCCAGCAGGTCGAGGGCTGCGGTGGCCGGGAGCGGTCACTGCTCTCCAGTCTGGGTGACAGATTGAGACTCCAAATCAAAAATAATAAATAAATAAATAAATAAATAAATCTACAGTATATATAAACCACTGGTAAATAATTGAAAGCTTACTTTATTCTATCTCCAAAGATTAAATCTGACACAAATGAAAATGTGTCTGTTCTATAGAATCTTTCTTCTGAAACATCCACTGACCAAAAACTCTGGCATCACCTGGACTTTTAAGAAATGTAGAAACCCAGGCCCTACCCAGCTTATTAAATCAAAGTTCTCATTTTAACAAGACCTCAAGATAATTTGTTTGCAAATTAAATTTGGGGACGCATTGCTTTGGAAATTGTTTGCTGTTAATATAAAGGAAGATTTTCTAAAGCAGTTTCTCAACCAAAGAGGTGACAGAAGACAGGATTACAACATATTGGAAACATTAACAAACTCTTCAACCTCCTCATTCTTTAATATAAAGGAGGATTTTCTAAAGCAGTTTCTCAACCAAAGAGGTGGCAGAAGACAGGAATTACAGCATATTGGAAACATTAACAAACTCTTCAACCTCCTCATTCTCCATTTGGGACCTACAGACTTAAAAGTTATAATAAGGAATTTTTATTTTTACTGTGATTCTCCTAGTCTTATAACTCATTATAAGACTTTCTTATTTATGGTAGGGGTGTTGGGAGAAGAAAGAGGGAAGCCATAAACTTCAAACCAGAAAGAAAAGATTTGTTGAATGTATTTAAGAAGTTAAATCGTAAACCACTTAAGAAATTGAAATTAGAAGGCATATTTAATCAGACCCTCTTGAAAGTGTGAATTGCTCATTTCTGTAAATGCATAATTAATACTAGCACACAGTTGCAGTGAAAAACCAAATGTAGAATTGTATAAGTGTGAATAATATTTAAATTTTATACCCTTGTGTAATAACACTAAACTAATTCCAGCATTTTTGTAATGAGTCTAAGCAAAGGGACCAAATTAGCTTCATCCACACTAAAAAACTTTATTTTGTTAGAAAGATTCTATCATCTTGCATCTGTAAGTTCTGCCTTGTGTTATAATTGAGTTATTTTCATACAATTAAAAAGTGATCTAGGACGGGTTTGGTGGCTAAGCCTGTAATCCCAGCACTTTGGGAAGCTGAGGCGAGGTAATTGCCTGATCCCCCAGGTTCAAGACCAGCCCGGGCAAATTGGCGAGACCTCGTTTTTACAATAAATTTAAAAAAACTAGCCGGGCTTGGTGTCTCAACCTGTAATCCCACGCCTTTGGGAGGCTGAGGTGAGTGGATTGCCTGAGCCCGCAGGTTCGAGACCCGCCTGGGCAGGCGAGACCTCATCTCTACAATAAAAAAAAAAAAAAAATTAGCCGTGCGTGGTAGCGCGTGCCTGTAATTCCGGCTACTCGGAAGGCTGAGGCGGAAGGATCGCTGGAGCCCAGTAGGTCGAGGCTGCAGTGGCCGGGAGCGACCACTGCACTCCAGTCTGGGCAACAGAGTGAGACTCCAACTCAAAAAAAAAAAAAGTGATCTAGATGTCATAATGGTTTTTTTTTTTCAAGTAGGTTACTAAGAATTAGCACCATAGTTCTCAATAATTTGGAAAGCAAAGCTGGATGCAGTATGAGAATCCCAGCAACTCGAAAGACTGAAGCAGGAGGATCGCCTGTGGCCAGAAGTTCAAGGCCAGCCTGGGCAACACAGCGAGACCCTGTCTATTTAAAAAAATTCTTAAACTTAACTAGGCATGATGGCGTGTACCTCTAGTCCCAGCTACTTGGAATTTGATGTAGGTGGGAAGATCACTTGAGCCCAGGAGTTTGAGACTGCAGTGAGCCATGCTTGCACTGCTGCACCCCAGCCTGAGATACAGAGTCCCTGTTGCTTAATTAAAAACAAACAAACAACAACAACTTTGCTTCAAAACACAGTGGTTTGAACAACTCAAACACAATTTACAAAGATTATGAGATAAAGATAGGTGGTATAGCATACCAAGGCACTTAAAAAGTAGGGAATGGGTATGAGTATCTTTCTGACATTGGGATAAGTTGTCCGGGATTTATGTAATCTTTTAAAATTACTTCCTTACCATGAACTTCAAGTACGTCTTTAACTATGACTGACAGTCATGCTTTATTTCCTTAGTCCATTCACTCTCCCACTTTCCTAATTGACTATTTTATACTTTCTTCTAGTCTCTAGCCTCTTCCCTCATCTTTTAGTTGATGGTCTGTCTTCCATAGACTCTATCACCTCTACCTACCTACCAGCATCTGTAACTGTATACTCTGACTTTCCTATTGTTACTAAAGATGAATTACCCATCTACTGTTAAAGCTCATCCTCTTACCTGCTGAAGAATATTGCTCTAAGACGACAACATTTTTCTACGTAATTTTTTCCCTCTCTACTGGATTGTTCACTACTAAAACATGCTTTTCTTTCAGTCATCTATCTCTTCTTGACCTCTACTTTACCAGCCAACAAGAGCCCCATTTCTGATCTTCTGTTTGCTGCAAAGTTCCTTAGAAGAGTTCTTGATACTTACTGTCCCTATTTCCTGTCTTCCCATATCTTTCAAACCCATGTCAATAGGGTTTTCCCCCCAATCACTCTACCAAACTGTTCTTGTTAATAAGGTCACCAGTCACCTCCATGTTCATTCATTCACTCAACAAAATTTTTTTATTGTGCTAAGAACACTTAGCATGAGATGTACCCTCTTTTAAAAAAAAAAAAAAAAAGTCCCCTTTGAGCAGATCTACCTTCTTCACAAATTTTTGTAATTTATGATACAATACTGTTGACTATAGGTACAATGTTGTACAGAAGATATTTGGAACTTACTCATCTTTTTTAACTGCAACTTTATGCCTGTTAATAGTAACTCCCTATTTTATTTCCTCCTGCAAGCCTCTGGCAACCACCATTCTACTCTTTGATTCTATGAAATTGACGGTTTTAGATAGGTCATTTTAGTGGAATCATGGACTATTTGCCTTTCTGTGACTAACTTATTTCATTCAGCATAATGTCCTCCATGTACATTCATGATGTCACATCTTGCAGAATTTTCTTTTTTTAAAAACTTAGTAGTATCCCATTTTATCTATATACCATATTTTCTTTATCCATTCATCTGTTGATGGACATTTAGGTTGTTTTTCCATCTTGACTGTTGTGAATAGTGCTATAGTGAACATGGTAGTGCTAATATCTTTTTGAAATTCTGATTTTGATTCTTTTGGATAAATACCCAGAAGTAGGATTGCTCTATCAATTGGTAGTTCTAGTTTTAATTATTTAAGGAACTTTCGTACTATTTTCCATAGCAACTGCATCCTTTTTCATTCCCAACAATGCATAAAGGTTCGGTTTCTTCACATCCTCACCAACTTTTGTTGTCTTTTGTTTTTTGGATAATAACCATCCTAACAGATATGGTTTTGATTTGCATTTTCCTGATGTTTAGTGACACTGAACATCTTGTCATGTCCCTGTTGGCCTTTTGTATATCTTCTTTTTCTTTAGCAAATATTTATTAGGTGCTTATAGAACCCATTCTGAGAATGTGGAATATGTTATTGAACAAAACAGATAAACACCCTTGCCCATGTGGAGCTTGTGTTCTTATATTTAGCCTTGCTAAAGCCAGCAGGCAGTTCAGTTATCTTACTTGACTTTTCAGTTAATCTAATGCCATATTCTTATTTCTCTTGGCTTTTAGGATCCCTTGCTTTCTTGGCTTTTCTTCCTTCTCACTAGAAATTCCTGGACAGTCCTCTTTGAAGTTCCTTGTCTTCTAGAGGAAAAGGCTCATGGCCTAGTACTTGTTTTTTTGCTCTTCTCTACATATACTCATATTATTGTGATCTTATCCAATCTCATGCTTAAATTCCATCTCTGTATCAGAAACCCCTGAGTTTTTATATATATATATTTGTTTTTTTTGTTTTTTTTTTTTTGAGTCGGAGTCTCACTCTGTCGCCCAGACTGGAGTGCAGTGGCCGCTCCCGGCCACCGCAGCCTCGGCCTGCTGGGCTCCGGTGATCCTTCCGCCTCAGCCTCCTGAGTAGCCAGAATTACAGGCATGCGCTACCATGCCCGGCTGATTTTTTGACTTATTGTAGAGATGAGGTCTCCCTGCCCAGGCGGGTCTCGAACCCGCAGGCTCAGGCAATCCACTCGCCTCAGCCTCCCAAAGGCGCAGG